TTGTGTAACTTTTCTGGGTCTGTCAAATGTTTTTTCTCCATGGGGATGTTATTGCTTTGTCTGGAATGTTTTACAGTAGGGTATTGAACTTTTCTATCATCATGAGACCTAATTACAGGTCAGAATGCTTGTTTTGTGAGGTATTTTAGAGCTATAAAATCACCTGTAATGGAACAAATGTAAGACAGAGCTGTTTAATGTCATACTGTGGAACCTTCCAGGCAGAGCAAAGACATAACGATACACAAGCAGGTGACGGACGCCCAATCAAAAAGTTATACAGGCCACCTTTGTGGACTAACCCTAATCACTACATGCCAGACTTCACCCTTTAAAGCAGACATGTCAAACTCAATTTTATTTAAAATTTTGTTATTATTTTACATTACGCTTGTTCTGGATTCAGTGTTTAAGCAAAACTATTATTAAACATAATTTTAATAAGAAAAAGTTTAACATCATACCTCGAAAGAAGAGAAAACATGCAGATGTTGTTGTTTTTTTCAATTCATGTGTATTTTTTCAATAAATATTTAGTTTGACCCACGACTTAGTCCCATTTTTAAAATTTTGGCCCTCTGTGAATTTGAGTTTGACACCCCTGCTTTAGAGCAATACTTTCTGGAGGAAGCGCGTCGCTCCTGCATGATTCCACGGAAATAGAAAATTAGAGCCAAACTTTTTAATGGATGATTTTGGGGCAATAAAGTGTACATTATTTGGTACACACATTTAAAAGGGATGAGATGCAACTTTTCTGATCTTCGTGGAGTTGCTATGCCTTGAAAGCTCCACAGTATGGAGTCAGATCTGTGGAGAGGGGACTCCACTTCTAACAATAACAATGCATGGTTTTAAAGTTACACTACCAGACAAAAGCTTGGACTCATCTAGCAAAGAAATGTGCTCAAATAAATATGAGCTCAAGTAAATATTTTTAAACATATTTTATAGTGAGATTCCTCAAAGTCGTTGCTTTGTCGACAGCGCTGCAAACTCTTGGCCTTTTCTCATCGAGCTTTATAATAAAGCCTCCTGAAAAGGCTTTTACTTAACATGCCGAGGTCAAGAAATGCCAAAACTGTATAAAGCAGTGATCAAAGCAAAGAGAAGCTATTTTTCATTTTTATTTTGAGTCTTTTTTTTTTTTTTTTTAAATACATTATCAGTGTGTTTATTCATAGTTTTGATGCTTTGGTAATGAAAATAAAGAACAAAGTAAAACGTCCAAACATTTGACTGATTGTATTTCTGAGCAATACAAACAGCTGTCATTGAATCTACATGTAAGATTTAAAGCTGCACTGTGGAACCTTCTTGTGAAATGAATGATGGGACAAGACAAATGTGATTGGACACTGCTCTGGTGAAAGATGCATGTGTTAAAGAAGAAATGGTAAACACAAAGAACCACATGAGAGAAAAATGAAAATATTGTTACATTTGAATTATTTATTATCCAATCAACAGCAAAAGGGTTACTACATAGTACAATAATATATAAAAAAGAATGCAGGGTACACCAGTGAAACACTCCCATGAAATGTATGTTTTTAAATGTTTATTTTACATTTAAATTACAGGAAAGAAAACGCCAATTTTTTTGTTTTTTTTGAGCATTTTAGAATTATTAGCTGCTTGGCTGTTTGCTCGTAGCCGCTGTTTAATAGATCTGTTTTGACAAGATAGGTCCACTGTGTCTTCCTTGTGTCATTTTTCATCAAAATCATGTCAATTTTGTGTTTATTTTTTATTTGTTTTCAGCTAAACAAAAAAGGGGCTCTGACAGATATGTTCACAAACTCATTAAAACTTCACAAAGTTACAGTTATTAAAGTTCAAGTGAGTAGCTCAGCCAAAAAAATAATACAAATTTACTCAGGTTTTAGTTAAATAAATAATATTACTAAGTAGAAGTACACTGTAGTTGTCTCAAATAAGAGTAAAAAGTATTTGGGGAAACTAGGAGTAACTGTAAGGACAAAAAAAAAAAAAAAAAGACATCGCAATAGATTTACAATTTGTATAGAAACCACGTATTCGAGTCCCTGTTGCCATGTAGCATTGTGTACAGTTGTGTGCAGCTCTGATTCAGTCCGATAGACGCAATAACAATACTGCAATATAAAAGTTATCTAAGTTATTTTGGTAGCTTCAGCTTTTCGAGCAAAGAAAAAACACTTCCATTTTCGCTCTAGCGTTGCATAAAATCTTTAAAATGCAATTCAAGCTGTTGTGTCCGCCATCGCGTACACCTGTCTCTGTGCGCACCTGTAATATAAACCTGATATGGTTTCTATGGATACGATTGTTCTCTCATATATGCTGTCTCTTCTCATAGGAAAAGCCATAGATCAGGCGGTTAGAGCAGTTGTAGCCTTTAAACTGGCTTCTCTAATCAATCCAGGTTATTGCGATTTCTCCTGTACAGTAAGCCTGCATATGCGCTCGGAAATGTCACACCGAGAGGCAGTCATCCAAATAGGATTCAGGATTTATTATAGAATTGCACCCACAGTACTTGCTTACACTCTTGGTATGTAGTTCACAAATAAGACAATGCTATGAAAACGTGTTATTGGAGGAAAGAACAGAAATCAAATCGAATAATAATAAAGGGTTTGGTGCTGGAAATTGCGTCAGTCTTTGGGTTGTCTGTGCCTAAATTCATGCAAATTAATGTGTGGTTTTGTGATGTTACTGACAACAGAAAGGGGAAGTGTGCACTGTACCATGTGAGGAAAAAAGTAGCAAACGCGTTCTTAAATTTGCAAGCCAGAGTTTAAGTCCGGACAACGGGACCCAGTCTGGCTTTTTTTCCTCGTTTTGAAACATCTTAATTAGATCAGAAAACATTGTTGACACAGATTTTGTGAACAACTGTAAAGAACAAAACAAAGACAAAACACTATAAACTAGGAGAGACATTTCTAATTAATTACAACTTCATTTCCCTTTCTTAAAATAAAAATATTTAAAACTAAACACAAAATAAACATGGCAAAAAGTGAATATCAGGTTGAGTTGAAATGACGTGAATTCTGTTTATCTTAATTAACTTATTTCAATACATTACTTCTAACTTTAAGCCAAATTAGTTACTTTTTGGATAAGAAAGTGTCAAAGCCTCGTCAGTTCTCTGGCAATACCGGTTGTTGTGTTCTTAGGCAAGACACTTCATCCACATTGCTGAGTATGAATGCGGTGAGTGACTGGCAGCCTGTCAGTCTGTCCCAGGGCAGCTGTGGCTACAATACTATCTTACCATCAACACATGTAGAGTGAATGAATAATAGACGAAACTATAAAATGAGTCTGAGCGTCTGGAAAGGTTCCACATAAGACTAACGCATTCTTATTATTACTCATTTATTTTGGTAAATTGAATTTCTTATTTCACGCTAAACCAGTCAGAAGTGATTTCCACATCAGCAAATGGACCCAATCTCGTCCAACCTTCTCAAAACCAAGATAACAATCCAAATCCAAGCCATTTCAAGCTGGACCACATATTCACCTTTTGCAGTTAAAATAAAACAATTAAGTTATAATATTAGCATAATAACACAACTGCGATAACTCACTAGAGAGCGGAGAACCCAAATCCATGAAGGTCATAAACAAAGCTGCGTACAACAGCAGACTGAATGATAATTATTGTACATTAAAATCAGATCTGAGCCGCAGGGTAGCCTAGTTCCCTCTGCCTCGCCGTCTGCGTCTGACTTTGAGGTATTTAACATTCACCTCTCGTACTTGCAGTAAATTTGCTTTTTCCTGGAGTTGAGATGAATATGCAACGCTGCTAAAAAGTATCTGAAAACGGACTGCACATTTTAAAAACTCATGTTGTCTGAAACGTACCGAAAAAGAGACAACTCAGAATCATATAATTAACACTTATTTTAGGGTACACGTATTAATAACATATGTCTAGCTACTAATTTGCATGTATGTAAGTAGTTCATTTGCATGTTAAGTCATATTTATTTGGGCCTTATTCTGCATAATCTTAACCTTGTTGCTAATTAGATATTTCATTACATTTACTTTTAGTTTTATTAATTTAGAAATACATTTTTGTATTTCTGGATGTACCTGATTTTTCCCAAGTATATGAGCCAAATTTGTCAATATTGTACAGTACATGTTGTATAAACAGCTCTTGGTGTCAAAATATGACTGCTGTATGCTGCCTACATTTAATTAGAAAGCATTTTACTGTCCAATAATCAGGAATTATGTATTAGCATGCTAGTTGTGGTTAGCTTTACCATCATGGCAAAAGTCTGCTAATGTATATAGGATAGTATCATTTATTAATAATCAAGTAAATGTCAAATTAGCAGCAGAATAAGGTTTTAAAACTAGAGATGTGCTGATATAATACCGCCGATATTAAAAATGTTCATGGATCGGATATCGGTTCCCAGATATCGGTTCATTCAATATTGCACTTTGGTCTATAAACTGGTGTAATAAGACTATTTACTGGCCCAAAATATCTCATAATATTAAACTTATCACTTTAAATGATTTTTTTTTTTTTTTTTTTTTTTTTTAAACTACACGTTATCTGTGTGCAAAGGAAAAAAAAATCCTATAGTTTTCAGTCTCTGCTCTAGTATCGGTTTATATCGATTATGAGCAGATATTTAAAGCCAAAGTATCAACGTGGATATCGAAACAGAAAAAGCTGGATCGGTGCATCTCTAACATTAATAAAGGAGAGACAGACAAATTAACAACAATTTACAAACTTACAAGGATCCAAATTAGGAGCTAGTTAAAAGTTTTTTTTTTTTCCAAGTGTACCCTAAAATAAAGTTAAACATTAACAAAATCCATTCCAATGTCAACTATTTGTTACACCTTTGAAAACTTAAAAACAAAAAAGAAAAGAAACGAAACTTGAGTTATTCTTATTAAGTGGGTCAACATCATTGTGTAGTGGGTACTTCATGCCCTCTGTGCAACAGTTTGTGAATCCAGTTGGAGAAGAACAAAACAACTCTCTCTCGCTCTCTCAGCATTCAGGCATTCACTCATTTGTTCACATGATCACTCTTTCACTCTATCACTCTTTCGCTCATTCATTCATTCACTCATTCACTCGTCCATTCATCCATTCGTTCACTGGTTGTTGGATGGGTTCAGAAGCTCTGCAGCAGTAGAGGGAGCAGTGCTAGGAGGAGCAGACAGCTGGTGGAGTGAAGAGCCATGGCCCCTGCGCCCCCGTCCTGGACTGCTCTCGGACCTGCGCCGAAACACCAAAAATAATACAGAGATTAGACTTTATCTAATATCATGTCAGTATAGACCAATGTTTCTCAAATTGGAGTAAACAGATTACCTCAAGTCAAACAAAAACAGTACAGATTTGTATTACTGTTTTTGTCCTCTGTTGGGTTAATCATGATTTAGAACTACTTTAATCTTAGACCATGTTTAGTCTTAAAGGGACAATTTGGAATAGGATTTCATTTCCTAGTGAACCAGAGTGTTGGAAATGTGTGGAGACACTTTTAAAAAAAATACTCCATCCAGTCTTTGTATTTGCAGAGGTCGCTGGTGCTAGGCTAGTGCATGTCAATGGCCATAGTTATCCTGTCTTACCCACTCCACAAAACACCCAAAGCAAATCTATTATTCCGCCAGACTGTCGAAGTAAATGTCTGTGTTGATAGAAAAATGTTTGAAATAAACTCACCTTGCATCACATGTTGAGGGACTATTTTCTCAGCAGCAGCGGAATTTCACTTTTGCGGTAAGATGGGTACTACGTGATATCAATCCGCCGCTGCCAAGCTTTTTATCAGGAAAAATTACTCGCTGCTGCTGCTCAGACATAAATCCTTCAAATGCAATGTTGGTTTTACTTCTAAAATTATTCTATCAACACAGACATTCACATCGACAGTCTGGCGTAATAACAAACTTGCTTCAGGTGTTTTGTGGAGTGGGTAAGACTGTTTTTAGTGGCAGGCTAACTATAGCCATTGAAATGCACTAGCCTAGCACCAGCGACCTCTGCAAATACAAGGACTGTATGTAATATTTCAAAAAGTGTCTCCACACGTCTCCAACACTCTGGTTAACTAGAAAATAAGGCCTTGTGTCCAAAACTCTGGACTGTCCCTTTAATTTAGGCTTGATATAATCCAGGTTTTGATCTGGTAGTACTCGGAAAACCAAATATTATCTTAAATTTAGGTGGTATTTAGAGAGCAAAGTTTGAGAATCACTAGTCTAGACCCTTCCAGTGTTGGTTAACTGGTATCGGCCCAGTTTGAGTCCTAATATACATTTGATATGATTGTGTTCTAGTCCTGGTTTAGTCTTATCTTATCCCAGTTTTGATGTGGGAATTTTGAAAGTGTGATCGCACCTTTAGTCAAACAGTAAAACTTTGTGCACTATGACAAAACAAGCGTATTTTGTAATTAACATTTCTCAAAGCGGCATTAAGTAACTTTACTGGTGAAGAGTTCTGAAGCAATGACATTTTCGACAAACTACTAAAAGTTACGTAGTGCATCTTTAAATCTAATCTCCTGGAAGGGTCTATACTTGATAACAGTTCCGTCTGTAATGTGTGTGACTTTGTGATCATGTCATATTAAGAGTCCATTTGTGCAAACGTGTAGAGATTACAGACACATTCAACACTGTTTACACTTAGACGCAGGATTAAGCAGTTTGGATTACAGAGCTTTAGTCAGCAACAGTTTCTTTGTGGAGAGTTACTTTGAAAATGTCTTTCACAAATACATCTGATATAGAGAAACAAAATAGGTGAGTGTTATTTTGTTGGATCAGTATTTCATTAATTCGTTTCATTGTTTTCGTCTCCTGCGTTAAAGTGAAAGTGACTGGATCGTAAAAGTGTTTATATATGCTGCAAATAGCAAGTAGTTCCTTGTGAGTGAGCTTGTGAGTAACAGTAGCTGTTTTAATTAGCAATTACAGCTGCAAAGTATGCAAATGCTAAAATACTAGATGCACCTGCACGCTTCGTAGCTCCCCATCTCGACTGGGACAAGACTAGGCTAGGCTACGTTCAGACTGCAGGGCTTAATGCTCAATTCGGATTCGGTGAGGTCGTTTACATTTCCAATTAAATATGACTTGTATGTGATCTCCTAAATGCCCCAAAAGTGTCCCACATGTGCATTGAAGGACACAACGACGTCACCCGCAGCGAGGGAGCTCAGTGTTTACGGAAGTAGCCTAAACATGGAGGTGAGCATTGAGCGCTTGGAGATTTTAAAGTTACTCTCGAATCGGAGGATGTACATCTTATTTGTTTTAAGGAGGAGATTGAGAAGGACAACGTTTTTGGCCATGGCTTTTGTGGGGCAGTGGCAGCAATGTCCATAAAAAGGAACATATGCATGCAGAGTTGCAGCCAAGAGTGGTGGGATTGACATGTGCTTCACGGCTTCACCGACATCGAGTTCAGACACAATTTTCATATGACGAGAAGAAAGTTTTTGCACATTTGTAAATGCCAACTTGTACCACTCTTGCGGGAGGTAACACTTCTAGGCGGCCTATTTTATTGAGCAAACGTTTTGGCATTGGGCTGTATTGATCTCGCAACAGGTGCTTGTTACTGCACAAGAGCTGGCCAAACTGAAGTCGCATGTCAAAAGATCAGATATGTATGCAGCCTGAAGTGACCCAAATCAGATTTTTTCGCCCCTATGCGACCTGTATCTGATCTTTTAATGACAGTCTGAAAGACACAGATCCGATTATTTTGAAATGCGACCCAGGCCACTTGGATATGTGCTCCTAAAACCGATACATATCAGATTTTTTGACATGCGACTTCAGTATGAACAGACAGGTCACATTCATCGCACCTACATGTCAGGCTCAGAGTCTAGCCAATGGAGGGAAAGTGAGATTAGCAAATTCATTAATATTTGAGAGGATCGCTGTATTCAGGCCAAATCGGAGGGGTCTTATCGGAACCGGGCGGTTTTTGAAATAAGTGCCAAATAAATGCCCGAGCGTGGCTACAGGCGGTCCTGGCTCCAATGTCAACAAAAAATAAAGATCGTGTGAGCCAAATACAAGGAGACTCAAAGAAATGAAGCGGCTGTGGATGTGTAACATGCCCATTTTACCAAAACCTGGACTGTAGTTTGGGAGACAAGCCCAGTGTTTAGGCTACTTTCGTAAACACTGAGCGTCCTCGCTGCATGTGACGTCGTCGTGTCCTTCAATGCACATGCGGGACACTTTTGGGCTGTTTAAAGTTCACACTGGAGATCACATACAAGTCGCATTTAATTGGAAATGTGAACGACCTCGCAAAAAAAATCTGATTTCACCAAAAAATCAGAACTGAGCATTAACCCTGCAGTCTGAACATAGCCTTAGTGACTGTTGTTTGATCATGGTGTCTATTGATACTTTGCAGCTGGGGGTGTGATGCTAACTGAAAGCACTACTCTGTCTGAAGCTCTGTCAAATTAGACTTGAATCTGATCTTTATTTTAACACAATCTGATCAGAAAGAGCTGGAAATGTGCTGTTTAAACCCCTTTTGTTATGTTTTCAGATCATCTTAAAACTCTTTTTCTCTGCTAATGTTACTGAACATTCCACCAACTGAGATACATGTAGAACACCCCCAGCATGATGTCACTCCACAGTATCAATATCCCTAATTCTAACTACCTGTAGTCATTCTATTATTAGTCTAACTTTTGAACTTTTGAACACTTTTCATTTTCTGAAGCCAAAAACTCTATTTCTGTGACTGTCCTAGTTTGAGGTACGCACTGTCTGGAGATTGGGACCGGAGCTCTACTTTGAAGCCTGGAATACAAAGGCCACTCATTTTGTTCTTGGATCTCGGTGAGTTCACCAGTTTCCTTTGGGGCGTCTATCCAATTACTCTGCCACACCGTATAATCCCTAATCCGGCATAAGACTAATTAGAATAATGATGGAGACTCATTCAAATCAAAGCCAGTCTTACTTCTTCAGTTTGTCAGACAGACACAAAGTCACACACTGTTTCTACGAGTGAGATCACTTTGTACAAGAGACTGGGCTCACTGGTGATATGAGGAGATGTAGTTGGGAGCAGAGGTGGGTAGTAGCCAAAACCTGTTCTCAAATACAGTCAGAGTAAAAAAAGGAATAAAAAAAAAACACACTTAATAATAACTGCACTTTAATTGTTGTTAAAGAATGAAAAAAGTAAACAAACTCATGATGAACAAATAGTTTATGAAGGATTCAGGCTTAGTAAAATTAGAATTAAGGGGTTAGGAGTTAGGGTTATAAATTAAGTATTTACTAAGCCAGAATCATTGTTAATAAATATTTGTTCAGAATGAATTAAGTATTTGTTCATGCTAATAAGGCTAACTAATGTTTAGTTAATATAAAGTGTTATTAAAAAGGTATAAATGTATTTGAGAGACTAAAATTCTTAGGTGCATTATGTAACTTTTCGGGTGGAGGGTCCGTCAAATGCTTTTCTTCGTGGAGATGTTATTGCTTTGTCTGGAATGTTACACAGTATGGTATTAAACCTTTCTATCTTCATGGAAACCAAACCAGACCAAGTTACAGGTCAGATCTGTGGAGAGGCAAAGCCGCTCACAGTCAGAATGTATGTTTTTCTAGGTATTTTTGAGCTATAATACCACCTGTAATTGAATGTAAGTTAGAGCTGTTTAATGTCATATTGTTGAACTTTCCTGGCAAAGAAATGGTATATCTACAGAAACAAGGAGGCGACGGACCCCCAACCAAAAAGCACCTTGAAGACTAATTAAATGTAGTTATTAAGTTGAGTTACATTTGTACCTTTTAAGTAACTAAAAGGTACAAACGTAATTAGGAACACTGTTATCCTAGTCAGATCAAATCTTAAATTAACTGTCTGGACCCAACATCAGAGTTGAAGTAATTCAATTTTAATGTAATCAGAAGAAATGTAAGTAATAAGTAATGCACCAAATCTAAGAAAACAAAATTATATCTGGAGTCAGAGTAAATATTTGATCACTTATAGACTCACTCACAGTAGGAACCAAAATGTTTACTTAAGTATGGATGTACACTGTAAAACACTATATATTTCTCAAGTAAAAGTAAAAGTATGGTGTCTAAAAATGACTCTGATTACAAATATATTCAAGTTAATGTTTTTAATGAAGCTAATTAAGCACGACCCACCTCTGACTGGGAAACAAAACACACATATAAAGCAAGTGCTAGTAGAGTTACGTTACACAATTGTCAACATGAACCACAGAAATGGAGGTTATACTTACATAGGGAGAAGAGCATGCAAATGAATTCAGCCATGTCACAGATGCACGGTTAGGAGTGAAGAGGACAGATATGAAACATGGTTAGCATTGACCATTTTCACAAAGATTCAGTTAACCAACCCCCATTTCAAAGTTCCCAGTTAGTATTAAGATGTCATGACAGTCCGATTTAATAATATCCCTCCTCACTTAACGCTTAACTCGTGTCTAGTTTGTGAAAATGGCAATGTGGTCCAGTTATGAGCCCCCATGCAGATAATATTACGACCCACGGCGACGAGGACCATGCTAGGGCGGGATACTAACCTTGCAAGAGCGTTGAGCTAGTGGGTTCAATTACCACTACTGTAGAGGGACAAATGGAACAAAGCAACATGTGAAAACAGAGGCGCGGAAATCACAGAGAAAGAGATAAAAGAGTGCTCAATGCTAAAGAGATGTCGGTTTTCTATTAGACTTTATTACTGTCAAAATATAACTCTATCATGTGTTAAAGTATAAGTGTGTATTTGAATTTATTATTACCATTTATATTGTTACTCTGTTATTTTTATATATTGTGATGTGTGAGCTGCTGTGTTGAAATAATTTCCCTTGTGGATCAATAAAGTTTGTTTAAGTGAAAGTCATTCATAAATTCAAGTGCAATTTGAAAGCTTGGTTATAAGATTAGGTTGCACTATATAAGAGACAAATATGATATTAAAGGGACAGTTCAGAATTTTGGACATAGGACCTGATTTCCTAGTGAGTCAGAGTGTTAGAGACGTGTGATGACACTTTTTTGTCAATGGCCATAGTTAGCCTTACCCACTCCACAAAACACCCAAAGCAAATCTATTATCACGCCAGACTATTGATGTAAATGTCTGTGTTGATAGAATAATGTTTGAAATAAAAAACCTTGCATCACATGAATCATTGCATGCTTGAGGGACTATTTTCTCATATATCAGTCCGCCGCTGCCAAGCTTTCTATCAGGAAGTACAACTCCCTGCTGCTTCTGCTCAGACATAAATCCTTCAAATGCAAGGTTGGTTTTACTTCTAAAATTATTCTACCAACACAGACATTCACATCGACAGTCTGGCGTTATAACTGTTTTGCTTCGGGTGCTTTGTGAAGTAGGTAAGACTGTTTTTAGTGGCAGGCTAACTATGGCCATTGACATGCACTAGCCTAGCACCAGCGACCTCTGCAAATACAAGGACTAGATGGAATATTTTAAAGTGTCTCCACACGTCTCCAAACTCTGGCTCACTAGGAAATAAGGTCCTATGTCCAAAATTCCGAACTGTCCCTTTAAAGGTCCGATATTACGCAACTTGACTCTTGTGAGCTTCAGACTTATAATGTTGTTACCTCGTCAACAACATATCCAGAGTTGTTTTGTTTCATTCACACATGTTTGAGTTATATTATTAGTCTGTCTACACCTCCAAAGCTCAAAATGACGCTCTGTTCCACCTTGTGATGTTATGAAGTGTTAGTTTTCAAGGTAACACCTACTACTTTTTACCTTTTGTTCACCAGAGATTGACAGTTCCAGGGCTGAAATTATCCAAATGATTCTAGTGAAGGTGTATGAAGTTTAAAAACACAATTTTTCAATTCAGAGAGAAAAACACAGCCTCAATACGCAGAGTTTATGTGTTAAACATGTGTGAATGAAACAAAACACAAATCCAGGTATGTTTTTGATGAGGAAACATTATAACATAAATTAGAAAATAGCGTAATATGGGCCCTTAAATACACGTATACTTAAAACTTCAATAATTTACTATATCATGTCAAAAATAAGACGTTCATGCAGAGACTAAAGCATGTCCATATCAAGGCTAAATTTATATTATATTATTAAAACAACTAAAATATGACTTGTTAACTTTAACAAACTAAGCGCAAAAAACACCACATTAATGTGATACAGATATTTTTGCAACCTCATGCATAATATAAAACTTAATATTAAAAGATGTCATCAATATTTTTACACTGCATTTCTTTTAATGACTTTTGCAGAGCTGTGGAGAGAACTCACGCTCTAATAGTGCACTGTATAATATTCTACAGGGAAGGAAAACAAGATCAAAACACACGCTAACATCATACATATATACATACATACAGGAACAGCCTGTATACAGTAAACCCCCTGATCGAGCTTTAATAACTTTGTTATTATGTTTACATTTTTCACTGTTAGTCATTATGACGATGTAGGAGATTAATTCAATGTGTTTTCCCGTAGATCAAAATAGCCTAATTGACAATCTGGGCTATAGGTTGTGCTGCTTTGTTGTGTTAACTACAGTATGTAACTTTTCTGTGGTTGCTTGTCTCCATGGAGATGTTCTTGACAATACAATTAAATAAAATACATGAATAAATACTACTTGTTCTGCTTGTCTTGTCCTTGTCTCAATGCTGAAAATAGGATAAATAGCAATGGCATCTCCATGGAGAAAAGTTACACGTATTTTCCACACTATAGGGCGCAATTAAAAGCCTTTAATTTCATCAAAAAAATGACTGTGCGCCTTATAATCCAGAGCTCCTTATGTATGAATTTATTCGGGTATCTTAGTGCGACTTTAGTAAACTACAAAGCCGCACCACTTGCAGCATTACGGCTCCCGTAGTCAGGAGCATCGCGGAGCAATACATACTGTGATTCCTTTTAATATTAAAATGCACCTGTCAAGCGACACGCTTAAAACGCCCACTTTAAAATCAAGTCTATTATAAAGTTAAACTACGAGCTGCGTGGGAACAATGAGAGAAGGAGAACACACATTCACCAAGACAGGGAGACGGCGCCGAGCGACTTGCGCCACGATCTGCAGATGGATCGTGGACACCTGGGCTAAGGATCTGTATCACCTGTGGTCTGAGCTTTCACCAAGACCGTAATCATCACTGAACTGCCAGGGAACAGTAACCACACTGACTCGGATAATGACAAGAGGGATGTGGGCGTGCTGGACGCTGTAATTGCCCAACTGTTTGAACAATTATTGTGAATACACAATTTAGCGTCTCAGACAGTATTTTTTACGAATTACAATTGAACAAAGTTGAGAGTTGACTGACTTATCTTACTGTTGTGTTTCATTTAATAGTCCGGTGCGGTTTATATGTGAAAAAAGTTCGAAAATAGACCATTCAATGACACCTTATAATCCAGAGCACCCTATAGTGTGGAAAATACGGTACATAGTAAACCTTTAAACTCAAAGTGGAGTTCAGCTGAAACATCTATGTCAGGCTCAAATCCAATACTCACCGTAGAGCAGAAAGTTTGTGGAGGAGAAGCCCAGTTTGTTGTTGGCCACACAGGTGTAGTTGCCGTAGTCTCCCTCAGACACGTTAAAGAAAGTCAGTTTGGACAGAGAGCCAGAGCTCACGATCTCCAGACCGTCCAGACCATTCACGATTCTGTGGGGAGGAAATGCAATTCAGTTTATTTTTGTAAAGCCCAAGTCATCTCAGAGTGTTTAGAAAAAGTGTTGATTTAAAGGAAGTTAGAAAATGAAACCATGAAACCGACACTGGACAATAACTAACAAACACTAAAGATTACAGACTATAATTTTTTTATTTATCATTTTCAGAGCCTTTTTTTTTTTTTTTTACTCTTTGCAAAATTATTCACACAACTATAGAATGAACAACAAACTAATGAATTAGAGTGAATTAGAGTGTTTGAAAAAGTTAACTTTGTGAATAAAACAACAAAAAAACTCTTGTAAAAACACTTAAGATTAAAATTAAAGATCATCAGATTTATAAACTTTAGGCCTGTCATGATAATTACTATATTGACTTTAGTACTCATTTAGTATATGAAAGATCAAACAATATCTTTTGGGGTTTAATGTTTATTATGTGTACATGTTCTTTGCAGTACTGGACTTTTTGATCAGATTTAAGTCACAAAAAGCTAAATTAATAACTTCAATGCCTCATTACAGATGCAAAGTGTTTCATTATGCTATTTATTTATTCCAAAGCATGATTTTTATAAAGAATATTGTGCATTTTTTCTGGTTTAAATCTGCTCTAGGGTTATTGTGTTAGTGGCATAAATGAGTTTCAGTATTATCGTTTACTGACTATATATCTGTGTGTGTGTGTGTTATCATGACAGACATCATCCAGACACTGTTCGGAGAATGCTACAGCAATTTTAGACGTGTAGTGTGAGGGCGTCAGATCTGTACAACCTGTATCACACACTTTCTGATGGTCTGACAGTGAGGTAAATCCAATAAATGTGCACAATATTACACAATCATTTTGCACAGTTCTCAAATCTGTGCTTGATGTTGACGTTGACCTCAAAGTGTCTGACTGAAAACCTGGTTCACAAAGGTTTTCACACTACGTTATGGTTTCTAGTGCTTCTGTGTCTGTCTATAAGATATCTTCATTGTGATCCCTGTGTGTTCATATACGACTGCTGTGTGTTCAGAGTGTTTCTCATAGTCTTTGACAGTGAAGGTTTTGGAAAAGTGATGGTTGAGTCAATAGTTTTGTACATGAATATTTCAGGAGAGAACAGATGGTGCTTCATGTTTGTTTTTACACAAAACAAAATCATTTCTATTCAACTAAATATTTTATCAGGCTCGATTTCAGAGCACAGAGAGATACCATGGGGTCACATTTTACAGTACAGTAATACCCCTTGTTACTGAAAAATTGTAGGTGATTGTATTGTTATATCACTGCGGTTAGTCCTAGTTAAGTCCTGCATTTATGGCTGGGGAATATGAAAGAAAATACAAATAACAAGCAAATAAAATAACATTTCATTTAAATTTTGTTTAATTAAAATGGTGTTTTCAATATAAATTCTTTGAACATAAACACAATGATGTTAACACTGCAAAAAACAGCATCTAGTCAAGTTAAGATGACTTGATTTAAGAGACTTTTATCATGATTTGAGTAAATTTCTCTTGACAAGTAAAATTATCTAACGACTTTTTGTACTTAAAATATGAAAATACAATTGCTCAACCTAAAATAAGAAAAACAACAACTCTTTGCACTTAAAATAAGAAATTAAATCAAATGTTGCTTGATTTAAGAAAAACACACTTATTCCATTCGTAGATAATTTTACTTGTCAAGTTGAACCTACTCAAATAAAGTAAAATGTTCTTAATTTAAGTTATTTGAACTCAACTAGACATTGTTTTTTCCAGTAAAAAATCTGAACTCCAAACCACATGCTCTACTTCTACTTGATTAATATGACCAAAGGTGGTGAGTGACAATTAGAGAAGACAAAATCTCAATCCTTTTTATATTACTGATACTTCACAGTGACATCACACTGGGGGTGTTCTACATGCATGCCTATGGTGAAATGATCAGGAGTTACCACAATGCACACACTTGCATACGCTGCCAAGTTTTAAAATAGTCTGAAACATCACATTTGCAGGAGCCTGTGATCACTGAGTCACGTTCATGATCCTGTTTATGTGTTTGGTTTTCGACACAAAGGTGAGAGTAACTGAAAAAAACTGTGTTAACTGTCTTGTAACTGTAATGTTATTTGACAGGAACTTGTTTAAGCACAAATCAGTTCACCTGCAATTCCAACTCAGATAAAAGTTTAACTTGAGTAACAGAGCTTCAGACAGAGCAGGGCCTTTAGTTAGCGTCACATCCCCAGGGAATGTTAATGATGTCAGCTGCAAAGTATCAATCAATTCAAGTTTAGTCCTGATGGTACTTTTAAATACTCTAAGACATGATTTGGTGTAAAAGGTTACCTACTTGCAAACATATGGACCATAGACTTCCATGCACTCACCTCCTTTCATCTTTGTACCACTCGAAATCGGCCTCGGGCACCGCGTCCGCCTCACATTCCAGGACCCCCCTTTGCCCCAGGGTCACGCCCACGTCTCTGCCCTCCAACACCGTGGGGGCATCTGTAACACCGGGGGGCACAAGAGAGCACACACGTCAGGGCGCCATGGCAACAGAGGGGCAGCCGAACAGGTTCTATTTCCTTCTGGGATACCTGGACACTGATGTTTAACACTCACAATGGCAACTTTTTTTTTTTTTTAATTATTATTCTTTTTAAGCAATAATAAGACATACTTAAAGGGACAATCTGAAATTTTGGACATAGGACCTCATTTCCTAGTTACCCAGAGCATTGGAGACGTGTGGAGACACTTTTAAATATTCCATCCAGTCTTTGTATTTGCAGAGGTCACTGGTGCTAGGCTAGTGTATGTCAATGGCCATAGTTAGCCTGCCACAGTCTTACTGACTCCTTTCTATCAGGAAGTACAACCATGGATCTAAATCCTTCAAATGCAAGGTTGGTTTTACTTCTAAAATTATTCTATCGACACAGACATTGATAGTCTGGTATAATAATAGATTTGCCTCAAGTGCACTTTGGAGTGGGTAGTGGCAGACTAACTATGACCATTGACATGCACTAGTCTAGTACCAGAGACCTCTGCAAATACAAGGACTGGATGAATATTTTAAAAAAGTGTCTCCACACGTCTCCAACACTCTGGCTAACTAGGAAATGAGGTCCAAAATAACAAAATAATGTCCAAAATTCTGGACTTTCCCTTTAAACCTCCATACTTGGAGTTGTATTTAGTTTCATTCACACATGTTTGAGTAACCCTTTATTATTAATGTCCAAAGCTCAAAATGCTCCACTTTGTGATGTCATGTTTTTTAGTTTTGTTTGTTTTTTTTATTTAACAGATACCTTTTTCATTTTGTTCAGTAAAGATTGGCACTTCCAAGGCTGAAATCATCCAAATGATTCTAGTGAAGATGTATGGAGTTTAAAAACACAGAGGAGCACTTCCCATATCATTTACCACATGACATCACAAGCTGGACCAGAGTGTTTTCTGTTTGAGAGAAGAACTCAGGCTAAATATGCAGGATTTGTGTGAGAAACAAAACACAACTCCAGGTATGTTTGTGATGAGAAAACAAGATTATAACATAAATAAATAGCGTAATCTGGGTCATTTAAAGGTGCAGTATGCATCTTTTTCTTTTTGCTTGTTTCCATAGAGATTAGAGCTGCAAGAAAGGATTAGGATCAATTAGTTGTGATTAACTGATTAACTTAATGGAGAAATGATGGCGATGTCATTGCTTTGTCTTGAGTGCTCCACAGTATGTTATTAAACTTAGCTATCTCCCTGGAGACAAGAAGGTAGTGGCACAAGATCAAGTTACAGCTCAGATCTGTGGAGAGGTGATCCCACTCAAAGTAAGGATTCATGTTTATTTTCTGAGGAATAAAACAGGTCACTATATTAATCAAATAAATCACTACAAATCACTATATAGACAAATTGTTAATAGAAACAAGCAGGTGGCACGCCCTCCACCAACAATGTTACACAGTGCACCTTTAAGTTGCCTTGCCCAAGGACACAACCACATTTAAAAGGTTAAACAGAAACGCAGCAATAGTTAGAATTAATTAGACTCCTACATTTCTATAAACTTAGTAATAGTGTATATTCTTGCAGAGAGAAAAAGACACTTCCTTTTATTTCAAAAGTCAAATGTATTTAAACGCTTGAATGATGAAATTATTATTTTAGATACAGCCTTGACAAGATCTTTCACAGAGATAAAAGGAGCGTGCAGAGAAAAGCAGAAATGTCAGAATGTCAACCACAGACAAGCAGAGTTTTTTCACTCTGTTAATTAACTTCACTCAGGCTCAAATGGAGACGCTGCTTCAACTGATTTTTCTGCATTTAGGAAATATTTAAACAGACAGAGCCTTGGTGGTTTATAACTAGCAAATGTTTAAAATGATCTGGGCATTTAAATATCCAGAGGCCAAAACAAGCTAAAAATATACTGCAGAATATATTAATTAAAAGTATGTGCCAAAATCCAAACAAGTAATTTTTTTGTCACTGGGAACATCATCATTAGTTAAAGGTGTACTGTGTAACTTTTCTGGTAAAGGATCCACCACCTGCTTGTCTCCATGTAAATCTTAATGCTTTGCCTGAATGTTCACAGTCAACTTTTCTATCTCTATTGAGACAAGCTGCCAATGCCACCAGGCCAAGTTATGGGTGAGATCTGTGGTAAGGCAAGCCAATCTGTGTATCATTCACTCATTCGTTTTCAAGACAAAACCAAAAATAAGAAAACAAACAAACAAAAAAAAAAACAACAACAATTTTCTTCATTACGTGTCTCCACAACCAAAATGAAAAAACAGATAACGTTTCCCGTTTCTGTGATTTAAACTACGATGCCAGACTTTTACGCTGCATACAGGACCAAACCAGGTCTGAACCAGGACTAAAACAGGACTAAACCAGGAATGAGTGTTGGGATGGACCCAGAGATGAGCCTGCTTAGACTGTCAAGTGATCAGGACTGAGACTGGGACCCGACCAGGACCGAGAGAGGGACTAGATCAGGACCAGACCAGGACTGAGACCAGGACTGAGACCAGGACTGAGACCAGGACTGAGACAGGACTGAGACCAGGACTGAAACTGGTTTGGTCCTGGTTTAGTCCTGGTTTAGACCTAGTTTAGTCCTTGTTCAGTTCTGGTTTAGACCTTTTTTAGCCCCGTTTTAGTCCTGGTTCAGTCCGTATGCAGCGCAAAAGTCCAGCATCGTACGCCATGGAAATGGGAACCGGCCGTTATATTAACACAAAATTGAAAACTGAAAAAACTAATTGTTATCCATTTTTTCATTTTGGTTATGGAGACAAATAATGAAGAAAATAGTTGTTTTTTCTTATTTTGGTTTTATTTTGAAAACAAATGAACGAATGATACACAGATTCAAGCCCACCCTCCAGTAAGAATGTATGTGTATTAATGTATTTTTGTGCAATAAAACACGTTATTGAATAAATATGGGTCATAAGTCTAATGCCATACGCTGGAACATTCCTGGCAACCCTAACCCTGGCAAACATACAGTAGTGTAACCTCAACCTGAAAAAATTGCGCAGTGCACCTTTAAAGCAACACTGTGCAGGATTATGGAGATGGCAAATTACCTACATGATTCTATGGAAACAGATACAGATACAGATCTCCATGATGACAGAAACATTTTATGCAATACTGTGGAATATTATAGCCAAAGGAGCAGCATTGCCATGGAAACAAGCAAGAGGTGATCCTTCTCCAGGCCGCGTAAAATCAGGTTTGTGGAGATGCAAGCCCATTCACTGATAGGGCAACATGTTTTTCTCACAGCAATACAGCCATCGACAATAACTACAAAAAAAAAAAAAAAATCAACATGCTTTTTATTTTAGTAGCTTTTTTTTTTGGCTAAAAAGTTCAGCGGTGAACTTTCATATATGGATTTTGGACTTCATGGAGATAAAATCAGTGCAGCAATGGGCTTCACGAAATCCACAAAGCCAAACCTAAAAACATTTTGGTATCAAGTATTGGTATAATTTCACTAACTTTGAAAGAGTTCTACCTTCTGTGGGAATGCCTTTGCTTTTATTTCATGTACTTTTAGAAACTCTAGCTTAAAAAAAAGAAACATGCTTTGAAACAAACTGCAACTCCTCATCCTAATAATTCAAGTGGATTCAAGTCATATTAACAATCCATTCTTTAGTGTTGACCATATTGAAGAGTATAAATTGAGTCGACGCTAGCGCAAAATAAATGAGGGCTTAGTGTTATAAATGTGTTATGAAAGTAGGCCTTTAACGTTTTGGTTAAGTTACACAATGGACCTTTAACATCCGGTTGAAACCTCCATACTCACAGTTAACAGTGATGTCCACAGTCTGCGCGTCCGTTTCGATGTCATTCACGGCCGTACACTCGTAGGTCCCTGCCCTCTGTCTGCTGATGGACGGGATCTCCAGGTACTCATCGTCTGACCCCACATCACCTGCAACACAACCCACAAACAAGAGGGTCAGCCTGGGGTAATGGGACCAGAGCACAGCCACTAACCTCCACTGTCAACTCGGCTCAGTGCCCCCCCTGACCTGTGCTAATGACTGGGAGAGAAGAGGTGTGGAGGGGGTGGAGGGTATGAGAGAGAGAGAGTGAGGAAGGGAGACGGATCTGTTCAGGGGACTTTTGACAGTAAGAGAAAGTAGACAGAACGAAGCAGGAAATGTGCTAAAACACTTTAAAGGTTCTATATTATGCAAAATTTACTCTTTTGAGGTTTAAGACATGTTGCAATGCTGATACCTCATCAAAAAACATTAGTGCTGTAGTCAAGAGTGCACGAATTGAGACAAAGACCTGTCTGAGACCACGAGGTCCCGAGACCATGACAAGACCAAGACCTTGAGACAAGACTGAGACTTTTAAAGGCCAAGACTGAGACAAGACCAAGATCACGGCCCATCAAGACCAAATCAAGACCATCTTTGTCATTTCCTACATGTATTTGTATTTTACAGTTATTTTGGCACATTTATATCAGTGTTTTTATTAATCTATCTCCATTTGATCTGGTTAATGTTCATTTAGGCTTAAATAAGACAAGCAAACTCTTTTGGACCCTGACCCACAGTTTGATCCGACATCCATTGGGACTTTACAGAAAACAAATTCAAAGTGAATGAAGTGTTTTTTTTGTTTTTTTTTGTTTTGTTTTTTTCAAATTCATAACATTTACTGTTATATTATCTTACTGGTTTTGCAGTTTTATTTTGCAGCCTCTGCACATTTACCGGCCATAATGAAATATGTTCGCACTCGTCGAGTGTCGTGTGTTTTGAGTCCCAGACAAGACAAGACCAAGCTCCACCAAGCCTGAGACAAGATTGAGTCCAAAGGCGCTTGAGTCCGAGATGAGACGAAGATCGCAAAAAAGTGGTCTCAAGGCTGGTGTCGAGACCAAGACCAGTCTCGCATACTACAACGCTAAAAAACATACCCACAAACTGTGTTTTGTTTCCATTCACACATGTTTGCGTAATCCTGCATTATTAACCCTCTCAGGCTCAAATTCATTTTTAGTATCAGGAAAAATCTGATATTTGGGGAAAATTATAATATGGAGTAGTAATATACAATCCTGACTTTTTTAACCTTGGTGAACAAAAAAAGTATTTTGCACTTCTGGCAGGCCGTTTGCATGGAACCATTCTTGCACAGTCTGCATCGTCCACGTTTATCAGCATGGATGGGAGAAAAGGCTCCTGAGTAAAAAAAAGCTCATAAAATATGGATGTGGAGTAAGTAGGTAATTGGAATTTAGCTGTTGCAAATCTGCAACGCTTTCCTGGAGAGGGATAAAATGTCTTCATATCTAAAGATCAAAATGATCTGTTCCACCTAGTTTTCAAGTTAACAGCTACCTTTTTCCTTTTTTTCAGTAGAGACTGGCAATTCCAGACCTGAAATTATGCAAATGATTATAGTGAAGGTGTATGGAGTTTAAAAACACATGGAGTTTATGTGTTAAATATGTGTGAATGAAACAAAACACAACTCTGAGTGTGTTTTTGATAAACAACATTACAAAACACACTTTTTTGACCATTCAACCATGCTATACTGTTGTTCCCCATCAAAAATTATTAGTTGTATTTTGCTGTATTCACGTTTGTTTCATCCATTCACATATATGCGTGTTTAGTTGCATCATAGACAAAACTCTGAACTTTTCATGTGCAGTTTTTAAATGTGAAATAATTATCCCAAGGTGACCAAAAAACATGTTGCAGGAATTCTAATCATTTCGCCACTGTGTAAGAAACTTAACCAAAAAAGAAAAGCAGTTTCACCAAAATCAGAATACTTGATTAATTCTCAAGGGAAATTGTGTTCTGGTCCCAATTCCTCAAATGGTGACAGTGCCCTCCACTAATATAGGCATCCTTGGCAAATATTAGCCCAAAAAAGGTAAATTAAAAGAATAAAATAAAACTAATGGATGAGATGGAATGGTAAAAAGTATTCAAATGAAAAAGAAATTGTGAAACATGCAAGTCAAGGTACAAAATCTAAATCAAAAGAATGTAACAGTAACGGTAAGCTAGTAATTTTTTTTTACTTTTTTCATAGTGAGTAGTTCATAGCAAAGCAGAAACTCTAACTCTGGAACTTTTCTCCAAAATGTTCCACAGTATGCCATTAAACATATCCATCACATTTACTTTAGTATGGGTGCTTTTATTGCTTACACTGGAAAAACACCTCCATGTTTTCATAGAAATACAAAAAGGTGGAACACTCCAGGCAAAGCAAAAACATCTTTCATGTGGCAAACATATTACTCTGTTTTCTGATCTATGTTATAATGTTGTTTCCCTATCACAAACATACTTGGTTTAAAAAACAAACTCTGCATATTTAGGCTGAGTTCTTCTCTCAAACAAATAAACACTCCACTTTGTATATCATGTGGTAATACAGAAATTGCTCCCCTGTGTTTTTAAACTCCATACATCTCACTACAATCACTTGGATAATATCAGCCCTGGAACTGCACAGCTCTGCTACCTTAAAGATAAAAATTTAGTTAGTTAACTTTAAAACAAAAACTTTTAAAATCACAAGGTGTAAGAGCATTTTGAGTTTTAGAGATACAGACAGACTAAAAATAACATATTATTCAAACACATGTGAATGAAACTACACAACTCTGGATATGTTTTTGCTTAAGTAACATTATAGCGTGCTTTGTTTCCCAAAAGACTGGGTCGCAACCCTCAGGTGGGTCACAAGAGATTTTTTTTTGGGGTCTCCTTGTCACAATCTGCATGTAGGTCTGCAATATACATATACATACATCTCTGCACACCCCCACTCCACACTTCTTCAGCAACCAGTATTCTGAGGGAAACACTGATTTCTGTTTTTCCTTGTTTAAAACTTGAGTACCGTATTTTTCTGACTATAAGGCGCACTTAAAATTCCTCAATTTTCTGAAAATTGAAAGTGTGCCTTATATATTAATTCTGGTTGTATTTACTGACCTCTAAGTCAAGGAACAAGGAGCGAGCTGTTTATTTTCAGCGCTTAATGTTTATGCAAATTAGTCATGTGGTTTTAAGTTTTGTTTCTGTAAAATGTAAACAAATATGCGTAAAGCTGCATTAAACACATTATTGCTCAATGTATATTTGAGACCTCCTTGTAGGAAAAAAAAAATCTCAAGTCACAAGTGTCATCTGTTTTGCTTAAGGCGCCTTATAATCCCTCGTGCCTTTTGCATGAAAATAGACCAGATAATTCAACTTACTGATTTCGCCTTATAGTCCGCAAAATACGGTAATTAATGTTCAATAATGGTCACAAATTAATTTTGTGATTTACGAATAATGTCTATTGACTTGGGTCACGAAGATTTGTGACTTTTAAAATATGAGTCCCCAGAAAAAAGAAACACTGGGAAACACTGCCTTAAAGCACACACACGAGTCAATTTTCCATAACATAGGACCTATAATAAAAAAGAGATGCAAAAAGAACAGCATCTAAATGTCACGTATCCACTACATCTTTACCATTAAACCCCTTCAGGCAACAGCAGCGTTGACGCAGACTACAGCACACGTCTCCCTTTCTTCCTGACATGACATTGAACATGACAGTTGAAATTCACACGGTTACATGTGTGCAAAGCTTAGCCAGGTAAATACCAGCTCTGAACGTGGATCTCCTGAAGCGCTTCTATTGTTCCTTTCAACACTTTACAAAGCCCTGTTCCAGCTCTGACATTTCTCCTCTGCTCATTACAACTACAGGGTGATTAGTGCTTTGTGCCACCCGCTCTCATTATCAAACGCCTGTCACAACTTCTCACATCCTGCCTCCTCTCTGCTCGTCGGCGAATCTGAATTATGGATATGGAGTATTTGGGGATTAAGGCTGAGCAATTTGGAAAAACAAATAAAATAAACGCTTTACTCAGGTAGTACTAACTAGGTACATTTGCCGCTTTCTGGTCAAAAAAATCTAATTCTAAGCGTGTGCTGCCTTCAGTGGCCAGTGCGATTTTAAATAGTTGGTGATATCACATAAGACTGCTGATTACAGACACCGGGATAGATAAATAGATAGATGGATAGATTGATTGAGGTCCACAAAGATAGAAAAATGTCATGCCATACGGTGGAATCTTATAACCAAGGGAAGAACATTTCCCAAACAAGCAGGAAGTGGTCATTTTCCAGGACAAGCAGAGGTGCGAGCCAGAGTCCTGCACTGGGTATTTGCTGAAACAGGTGGGTTTTAACCTTTTACAGGCATTTTATGGGCAGGTATGCGGGTGGGTAGTGATTACACACAGGCGGGTCAGGTGAATCAATTGAATGACGAACGGGAGAAAAATACTTGAGGTCTGTTCAGGACGTCCATTGCCCTGGAAACAAGTGCAATTTCCTGGTCTTTTCCTGGAATGATGGACCAAGCTGAGAGAGTGACTTGCTTAGTGTGTCGTGGTTTAGACCTAGTTTAGACCTGGTTCAGTCCTAGTTCAGTCCTAGTTTAGACCTGGTTCAGTCCTGGTTTAGACCTGGTTCAGTCTTGATTTAGTCCTGGTTTAGTCCTGGTTTAGACCTGGTTTACACCTGGTGTAGTTCTGGTCCAGTCCTGGTGTAGTTCTGGTGTAATCCTGATCCAGTCCTGGCGAAGTCCTGACGATTGGCTCGGCGGTTTGTGGGGTGTATATATTTATAATCCACTAATAACACGCCGTAGGTTCAGTCCTGGATTATTCCAGGTTTAGTCCTGAACTATTGGGCTGTTGGACTAATGGGCTGACCCCGATTTATCACAGGCAAGGACAGATAACGGGCAGAATGTTAACAGGTCCGGGTGGGTGTGGGTCTCCAAAAATGGACCCGTGCAGGACTCTGGTGCAAGCCCGTTCACTGTTAGGACACACGTTTTTCTTCTCAAAGCAATAAAGCCATCCCAAAT